AAAGGTTGATCCGCCACAGGCTGGAGAAGCAGCGGTTCACCCACAGCCAGGGCAGCCAGAATCTTCAGCAGAAGAAGAAGAACGAACCTTTGATGATTTGCTGGACTCAGAGATTGAGCGTGCTGGGAGTTCCTCTCAAGGTCGTCGCCCACGTGGCCAGCTCTCTCTCTATAAATCACTGTCATTGTCTGCCAGCAAAGTTGCCAGTGAAGCTGTGCAAACAGTACCAGCACCAGCACCAGCACTGCCTGCAGAACAGGCTTCGGCCGTGGGCCCCAAGCATCAGCAGTTGCATCAGCACAAGAGGAAGAAGGAAGAATCCCAAGATGAGCCCATCCCTCCAAAGGCACCAAAAGCAGAAGCAATGCCTCCTCCGCCTGTTCCAAGCAAGGCTGCGGCTAAGGCTAAGGCTAAGAGCACAAACAACAGCGCCTCAGCCAAGGCAGCAGCACAGCCCAAGCAACCATCCAGGAAGCGGAAGTCCCAGGCTCGACCCGGCAGCAACCGGTTGATGGTTAGGGTTCATGGGGTAACACTAGCGGACAGTGGCACGGCACACTGGGCAATGGACTGACGGGACCAGTACAGTAGTATAGCACTAGTACTTTATATATATGTTATATAATGTTATTTTGCAATTTTGCAATTTGATTTTGATCAATAATTTGATTAGATTTTGAATTTGAATTTGACCTCTGGGTCTGGAAGTCTGGAATCGGGTTTTTAAATGACCTTGATCTTGACTCCACCTCTTGCACATCAGTCTTGCTCCTGGGCAGGAAGATCATGATTGTGGGAGCGAAGGTTCTGTGATGGCCGCAGCGGGCAGGGCGCAGTCAAAGGCCAAGGCAAAGGGAAAGAAGTAAGATCTTAATGATCGGGTTTTTACACTCCCTTGATGGGAGAGTCATTTGGCCCTAGCGTTTTCTCTAATTGATGCGCAATGTGGTGTGAAGTGAAGATAGCAGCAAACCGAGAGTAAAGCAGAGCCTGTAAGTTCATGGTTTGTTTTCTACACATGATTCTGATGATGTATGATGTTTGTATGTATATCTTATTATCCTATTTGATTAAATCATATCATTGGTTCAAAATTCAACAGGCTGTGTTTCAATGTTCGAAGAGGCTGCAGCACCTTTTGGGATGAACAAATTCCCTGTGCCACTTCCACCGTCTTGAAGCTTGATTCACTTCAAGCAAAAGACCAAAACAAACACAAGCGATGGGGCGCCTGTGGAAAAAACAAAGCGGCTATGGCTTTTTGAGGGATCTCAACAGGCACACTGGGCCAGCAAGACTTGTTGAAGCCCTGGGCTTCAGCAGTCTCCAAAGGTATGTTTCTTCTTTGAGGACTCTAAGTTGGCAAGGTATAAACTATAAACTTTATTTCTACCATTATAAACCCTAGGTCGTGAAATTTGGCATAAATGTTTTCGCGCAGGAATCCCTTGTTTGTTCCCTTAGACCAAAACACTTTCCGGGGGGAAATTGGATGCCGGGGAGCTCGATGAGGCTTGGACCAACTCCACGGTTTGCACCTGCTCCAGCTTAAAATGGTGAAAGTTTGGGCAGGGAAAGCTTGGGTGACAGCTGCCAAAGAAATCCAAAAACCTGAAGGCCAGACGTGGCCAAACATCTCATGTTTGTTGTCCATGTCCATCACTCCCTACACGGTGACAGCAGGCAGCCCACTGGCTCGAAGCGCTGGCACTGCAACGTCGCATGCGAGGCGGGTCGGGCAGCGAGACCAAAGGTGGCAAGGAGTGACTAACAGTCAGACATTGCCCTCACATGGCTTCACATTATGTTACCATTACCATGCTTCACATCAATTTTTACATCCGTTTACATCAAAGGTGGCTGCCCACCACGTTTCGGCTTTGAGTCCACACGGTGTTCTCGAAAACGGCACCGGATGGCACCGGTTCGCCTTCGCCGGTCGACGGCCGTTCGCCTCGGTCGCCGCGGCCGAGAGACAAGGCCAGGCGCTGAGGGTGGACAGCATCTCCTGCAGTGCGGCCATCAGTGCATGCGCGGCTTCAGGTGCACCTGGCCGGTCACTGGGTGGCAATTTACATGCCATGAGATATATATTGTCTTGTTGTATATAGTAATAGAGTATATAATCAAATCATATTTTACGTACAATTGATGTACATATATATATATATAACAGCTGGTCTTGCAAGAAACAAAACGGTTGTTTTTGAAGAATGACTGGTGAAGATGAATTGGAGTTCCAAAGTTGGTTGCTGGGTTGCAGATGTCCAGTGAGATGTGGCAGGGTGCGTGGGTGTGATTGATTCCATGTTGGACACACTCACTTTGTGGTGAGATACACAACAGGCAGACCCCATGCGCAAACTATATAACCACACGGTTGGGTTTTTGAGTGGTGATAACTCTCCAGACGGTTCTGGATGATATAAAAAGAGGTTTGCTATTTATTTGCAGCTCCAGGCATTGGTTCATCATCCTCGGCCTTTTGGACGACCTTTGGCTGATTTTGTTCAAATACATGTTTGCAATTTTGCTCCAAGCGCAGTGGTTTACTTAAAAATCAGGGGCATCTTTTGCAGTTGGTCAGCTTTGTTCCCATGTGGATCGGATCAAAACATGTGTCCTTCCGTGACACAAAAACTCTACAGTGATGGACAGACAGATAGAATCTAAAACCAGTCTAGGGTACAGTTGGAATATAGTTTTAGCCTAAAACCCTAAGGCCCCAAAAAGCAGATAGAATATGGAAATTCCAGGGTGAGAGATAGAATATGGAGGATATATAAATATATGACTGACATGTACAGTAAATGCATGAAACAACAAGAATCCACCAATTGCCACACGCTTCGGTCATGCTGCCTGCTATTGTTTCATCCCCCAAATATGCTACGGTATGCAGTACGGCAAGCTGTAGCCATTGCTAGGAGGTTGGAGGCCATTGCTAGTAGGCTGGAGGCCATTGCTAGTAGCCATTTAGAGGCCATTGCTAGTAGGCTGGAGGCCATTGCTAGCAGGCTGGAGGCCATTGCTAGTAGCCATTTAGAGGCCATTGCTAGTAGCCATTTAGAGGCCATGCTCCGGTCATGCTGCTGGCTATTTTTTCATTCCCCAAATATGCTACTGTATGCAGTACGGCTGCCTGTACACTTTCGGGAACTATTGGTACCACCACTATCTGAGTGCACCGACATAGTAATAGAACAGGCTTAGGGCGCCCACCAGCCAGGCCATGCTGTCCGCTGAGGGCCTCAACACGGGCCCCCGAAATCTGTGTCACAATGAATTGTCTTTGACTCCACAATACTAGTAGCGATGCCCTTTGTTCCTAGTAGCTTCTTGCTCCTAGTAGTAAGGCCAGGAGCCCCTAGTAGCGATGCCAGGAGCCCCTAGTAGCTTCTTGCTAGTAATAATTTGCGCATGGATCGGCGATGTTAGGAGATGCAGGAGCTCTTAGTGTCGAAGGACTCGGTGACCTACACTGCTGCCTTGCAGGGCATGGGTGAGGAGCGGTGGCAAACCGCTTTGGTTCCTTGGCACGTTAACCCAAACGACATCAGGCAGGGTGGAGGCCATTGCTACTAGGGTGGAGGTTAAGTTAGTGATGCATTGTTCAACATGTGCCATGCCGGGTGGGCTTATGCCGGACTGGATGCCACAAGCTTTCTGCCGGGCTGTGTTTTGTATCTACAAGATTCTACAAGGGATTTGTGATTTTGTTGGTTTCTTACGTGTCCATTGGTACGTCTTTTGTGCATGTCCAGAAACACGGTGACTGAGCCAGTGAACTCTCTTGCAAGTTCATGTTCCTGATAGGTAGCCTTTCACTATGGACTTAGACTGAACACATGTTGGCAGCACTGGCAAGGCACTCTGAATAGCAAACCCCAAAGTTGTGCCTTTCTCCCTCGAATTGATGTTCACGTTGAAGGGTTGAAAGAAAGACCAAGTGTTTATTCCATTCCATGTCATTCCTGGTGACATCAAGTGTCCACGATTGCAGGCATTGTTTCAGCAGATGACCGACGAGTCCATCAAGAAGGATTTGGTCAGAAAGCCCAGGGGTTGGCTGCAGCTGAGAGCCCATGACGCCAAGAATGGCCAGCTAAAGGGATTCTTGTAGTATTTGACCTTCCATCAGTCCCACTAAAAATACACGTGCCAACACCTCCGTCAGGTCTCGGCCCGTCTGTCAACAAGCACAACAGTTGAGCAACATCTCTGGGTTAAAGGGACACTATTGTCACAGGACCCCAAAATGGACACAAAAGCTTCGACCTCATTTTGCGGTCTACACTAGGATCCCCAGATGGCCTACCCCTTTTCGAACCGTCAGTCTTAGAGTCGTTGTTCCGAACGACTCTTTGGTGGTCCGGATCGACCCAGGTGGCCTACAATGCGGCCATGTCCGCGTGTGGCGGTGCCTGGCCACACGCTCTGGCGCTACTCCAATCGGTGCCACATGAGCTGGGCGCTGATGCCGTGAGCTTTGGGTCGGTGATCAGCGCATGTGAGAAGAGCCACTGGGATGTGGGATTCCAGGCGCAGCTAAGGAGGGTTAAGATATGTTAAGATCAAGACCTGATGACGGCCTTTATAGCAAGAGGTAGTTGGGGACACTAGTAGGGAAGGTTTCCAATTGGATAAGAAATGGTGACATTGACATGTCATGTAAGAAGAGCTGCCTTCGAGGGATTTTCTGCGTCATCCACTACTCCGAGATTCAATCCTTTTGCACTTTTCAGCGGCAGGTCTGCCAAATCATTTGGATATGTGAGGAATCCCTGAGACAGGGGCAGCCAAGGATATTGCCCATGCCATAAGGAAGGAAGTTTGATCAGAGTCTTCCAGGGAATCCCAGAAACCTGCCCCTCACCAATTGAGTAGTTGTGAGAGCGGTTGGTTCGTGCTTCTGAACAAGTTGCTGGGATGCATCCATAAAAGTCTCTTTCTGGTGGGTAGGGGCCTTCCTTTCAAATCCGATTTGGTCATTGATACTTTGCCTTCCTTACAAACATGCATCACACTCGAGCAAACATCGGCAAAGAACATTATTTCAGCATGTTTCAGCCAACCCGGCACAACATCACCGCGTCGCGTCTTCGGCATTGAACGAGTCTTGACATGAGACGGAGAGCTGTGAAGTTTTCTTGCATCGAAACTCCTAATTTGATCTAATTTGCACCAGATCTGTCACCAAGGCGGTGAGTGGCAGGCAGCTGTCCTCCTGCTGCAAAGAATGTTTGTTGCCTCTGTACAGCTCACAGCAGTTGCGCTGGCCGCTGCACTCAGTGCATGCGCAAGGCATCGCTTGGGGGGGGGTTTGCCTTGTAGAGGGAGGGGTCGGAGGTAGAAATCCGTTGAAAGATCGGAAAGATGTGGATGCAGGCTTCAGCAGAGTCCAACTTGGAACATTTTTGCGATACTGTCCGGTACTGGGTCGGTATGTGTGTAACATTGTGTAACTATGTGTAACTACGATCAGCATTACCAGGTTGAGAGATCATTGGAACCGCATTAAAACCTATCCGTGAGCCATCTACAGCAACATCGAAAACATCGCCAGCCTGGAAGTGGATGAAAGATTGGCAAAGGCGCCCCGCCAATCACCCCTACAATCATCCGATCGGGAATCGGATAGGCCATATTCTGGTTCATTCTGCCCATTGGATGGGCTCATGTCGTCGAAACAGAGTGGTAGAATACTCTTGTAAAGGATCAGGATAGATGAGAGTAGTCTACAAAACAGCAGTCTCGAGTCCTACTAGTCTCGACCTGGGTAGTGCGACTGAACCTACTCGAGAGGCAGAAAGAATAATTACTGACAATCATTTGACAGTCCATGTGCTTTGGGTACAACCGAAAGAGGGGTCCAGAAGCCAGGATACATGTCCCCAAAACAACTCAACCCATATACACCCTTTGTGAAGCCCTCAACGTGGCTTGTTCTGCCAGCTGGGAGGTGTGCTCAATGGGTTTTGGCCCTGACAATCTTGGAAGCACAGAAGACCGTGGAGCTGGATGTGGTGGTGCACCTTGGAGACAGATGTCGGCTGAAGAAGTTTGGTGCCAGCTGAGCTGCCATCATCGGTTTGTCTGTTATTTGTCCGTTGACCTCTTTGGTTACTTGGAATTTCTCAACAACAATGAGCGAAAGACATTTCCAGGCCAATCGCAGCCAGCATCCTTGGTACTAGGTCTGACAGAACGGACCAAAGCTTAGTTCCTCAACCTACGTCTTTGCACTTTCTTTGTATAGAGGGAGTTTCAGGTCGTTTCTCAGATTGGGGAAGTGGTATTCAAGAAGAAGATCGCAGGCCCTAGTTGGATGTTGATCAGTCTGCAAGGCTTGTGTGAGTTGATACTTGGACCGTCCACGAGAGAGTTTTACAAGGCTATATATGTTCCATAGTGCGAAGACCATCCGACCATCCCATCACAAGTCATCACACGTCTTTTGAGAGCTGCAGCTTGGTGTTCGACATCCTGGATGTTGAATACTTGCGTCGCCTCAGGTACAATGCCGCGATCGCTGCTTGTGAGAAGGGGAGTGCATGGGAAGCGGCAATGGCTTTGCTGGGAAGGTAGGGGCCCGGTCGGGGCAGCTGCCTTTGGCGACCGCTGAGAGGTTTTCAGGTGAGAATGCCAACATTCCCTCGCGCTTCATAGCCACCAGCAAGTAGCAGGAGCAACTAGATCAGGATGATTCCTGTTCCGGACTGCTTGCCCGTTCCCAGACCAACAAGAATCTTGTTGCCTTTTGTTGCACTATTTGCACTAGTACTTGGCAATCCAGTAGATTCTTCGCATAGGTCAGACATCCAGACATGTGCAGACCCTGTTTTGACTGCGAGTCAGAGAGTAGCAATATCCACCCCTAAAAGGATGATCTCTTCTGCCTGAGACGTTGTTACTCTTATTTTGTTACTTGTTTCCTTTTTCTATGATGCATATATATATATATATAGTATATCATAAAATATGTGGAACGACTACAGTCATAATTAGCCGAACACTACACACATGAAAGATCTCAATGCGCAGGTGTTAGCTGCACAACTACAATCACTGCACTCACCAAAAGATGATAGTATACAAAACCTTGAACAAATAGAACGAAACCATAACACCCTCGCCAAATCCTGACGTCCTTTGAATGGAGATGAATTTTCTGCAAAAAAGCTCAGGCTGGAGTCTTCCCCGTTTGGCTTCTGCTCCCCTGGCAATCATACATGTCGTGAGGCTGACACTCTCTGCAGTGGAGTTGAGTTGGAGAACTTTCAGCTCAGCTATCAGCAGCTCAGCAGATTCGAACTCCAAGTTAGCAAGGGCGTATGAAGTGGATGTGACTAGGATGATAGTCAGGGATAGAAGATGCCAGAGTTGCTTTCTGCATTTTCCGGAGATTCATTCTTAAGGGAAGTGCTCGTGGCCGTTGTTGGCCTGTTTATCTCCCAAGACGCAAGCTTTCTACAACCTCTACAGACCACTGGAAGTCCCCAAGATTTAGTGGGTGCTTGAAATCGAAGCATACCCAAAAGCTGCCGGCCTGAAGTCCCGCAGAAATCCCGCTGAATCGCGCAGGCAGCGCCCGCAAAAATGCATATAGAGCAAGTGGAATCCAAGTTCATTTGAGTCAGTCGCTGGCTTTTGCCCCAAACGATGAAGCAAAAACAGGGCAACCAATTTTAACGGAGAACGAACCTCCAGGTGGGATAAATCGTCAATATTGTATTATAATGGTTGATCGACAACCCTCCCGTTTGAAGATGTTTTTCAAGAGTCACCATTGTCACAGACAGGATATATGGGACATATTGGTACGTGAATCCGAGTGACCAGTTGCCCCCAGAGAAACCTAAGAGAGACATATAGAGAGACAAAAGGCCTGAAAGGCCATGAGTGTCAGACAATGCAACCAGCGTTCGCCAAGCCTCCGAAACACCAACCGTTCAACGTCCGTTCGCTCGAATCTGTCTGCCGACCTCAACAGAGACATACAGAAACGGTACCTGGCCAACAGCCTGTGGTCAACGGAAAGACAGCTGGCCGGGGAGATCACATGCTACAGGGGCAGGCTCGCGCACGACAGGTGCTTGTGCGAAGCCACGGCGATGGAGGGAAGCGCTGGAACTCTTGCGGATGGTGCCTCGGTGTGCGGAACTTGCGGACTCTGATGGGTCAAACGGATGATATAATATTTCGGTGCAAACCAGGAGCACAAATCATCCATTACACCAAGAGATGGATCAAGGCCGTTGAGAGTCAAGGCCGGAAATTATAGAATCGATGTAGGAGGCCAATTTCAGTGAGGTGTCATAGCTCTAAGGCCCTCGTTTGCACTGACATGAGGCCCTGCAAACTGTTGCGATTGAGATGCACAGCTCGCCAAATCGAACAGCCTGAGAGCCTTCGAGCCCTTGGAACTGGTCCGGTCGGTCTCGGAGCCCTCGGCTTGGTCCGACTCAGGTGCCATGGGAGACATCAGCTTGCGGTGCAGCCATGCGCGCTTGCAGTTATGATTCTTCGAGTCACCAGCATTCTGGGATTGGGAAGTATAAGAGAGCATGAATGGTTGTAGCTGGTACTCCCCATGTACGAAAAACCCTGCAATGAAACTGTCAGTTGATTATTGAGGTCAAAAATGATTTCGCATGCATTGCATGCGGAACCTGCTCCGGGTTTGCCCACTAGGCTGTTGATCTTGATATTAACAAGTGCATCGGAGTGTATGGTACTGTATTGGCTTCAACGTGTGAGTTTAAGCTGCAACACATGGCACATGGTCTCCCACAGTTCAGGGTGTGCACCTCTCCCTTCCCAATGGCTTTAGTTTTGCTTTCAACTCCTTACCGAAAAAGACTGAAAAACCGAACATTTTGGGGAGACGCAGGGAATCGCTGATCGAATGATTCCGCTTTCTAGCACGTATTTGTGTGTGCTTGGGATTCTGCTGTGCTTGGGGAGTTTTTGTCGTCCAAGGATTGGGCCAGGACGTTGCACTTGTACCAGGAGATGACTTTGGCCTTGGTCCACAAGGACGGGGCTGGGGCAGGGAAGGCCAAGCTACCAAATGTTTCAATGTTGATTTCAACCGCTCAGTGTCGGGTTCATGATCTAGGTGTCAAAACAAGAAAAACCGCCTTAAAACATGAGTTGAGAATGCGTTTTCCTTGAGGATGCCGACATCTATGCTACAGTCACGGCTGCCAGCTTCAGCGCGGTGAAGCCAGGGCTGCTGCGTGAAGCTCTGGTTGAGTTGGAGGATGTTGCTTTCCAAGGATTGAAATTAGAAACTACTGTACATTGAGCTGAGAGGAAGCATCAGATGCATGGCTAAACATCTCACTTATCGAACTAGCGTGGCTGCTGTGGCACGATCGCAAGCCGTGATGTGCTGGGCTAGCAACCATAAGTTGTGGAGCTTTGACAAGACCTCCATCCGGATTGACGATCAGAGGTGCTGCTGGGACAGATTCAAACTCATTCGTGACCTTCCAGAACTGAATCTCATTTGTGATGTTGTGTTACGCTTGTTTGATTACAATATGGGTGAGCTTTGCAAACTTCATTGCATAGACATGTTAATCAAAAAACTACACCAATGATAACCAGTTTTGGAAGGTGGCGAATCAACTTACAGTAAACATTAAAGCCCCTGCTCTCAGTGCCCTGTCCCTGGCCGAGCGAGCCCAGTCGCACGCTTGCCAGCCTGTGTGAGGGATATGGGCGTTGCATCTCAAAGCACGGCTGAGAGCTGATGGTACCTTCAGCAAAAGTATTCGCATGACAGCCAGCAACTCCTGCAATTTGGACAATGATTTGCATGATCATCAAGGGTGCTCCCGCTCTATAGCACCGCTTGGGTTTGCTGCTCCATGGGAGGTGCCCAAAGCAGCTCGACTGTGCTACAAGAACAACAGAGGACCGATGGTGGTCTTGGGAGTGAGCACGTTCCGCAAGTGAGAGCGACAATGCCAGTGGCTTTGGTACTTGTGACCCAAGCAACCTTGGCCCAGGCTACTAAAGTCGGTCGCATGGGAGCCGTATGTATCACCCTGGTGTCTCAGGAAGGGCACCCTTTGATCATTCGGCAGCCACCGCAGTCCTGAGTTTTCCGACCAGACCTGGGCAGTTCCCCATGTGACCGGGGGGAGACCCACGGCGAAGCCATGGAGTGCACATCAGAAGCCAACTCTGGGCCGGGACCATCCGCTGTGTGGACCATGATGATCAATCATGAGTGTGTATGGCCTTGACTGGCTTCCATGCATCCGCATCCGTGTTGGAGAGGCTTCTGCTGCTTGGTTGGCCCTGAGGGAAATGGCTGAGGACAATGGCTGGTATTCAAGAACTGATGCTTGATTTTTCTTTGTTCTGAATGTTTGCGATTTGGCAGAAGCTTTCTAGTAGTGCGGGGTGTGAGAATGTGAGAACAAAGATTGCTCCACTGATTTTCGGAAACAAAGCATTCAATGATCAAAGCATCACCTGGCTTTGGGAATCACAAACAGAGGCTCTCGAGCCCAGCTGCAGAGTTTGCTACTGCTGGCCGGGAGGTTAGCGCTTCCTTCTCTGCGGGCAGCTCCACAGAATCCCGCACAGATCCCAAGAGTAAACGGGATTTTTTTTGGCGAGGTTGAGCTCACCCAAACGGCCGCGCCAACCGTTTGGGTGAGCTCAACGACGTGCACACCCAGTGAGGTGTAGCAGGAGGTGTTATGATCTCTGCAGTGAAGAGCAATGTGTTACACCAAAATGGGAGCGTGCTTGCTTGAAGTGGGCCTCTGGTGCCTTAGCGAGGCCCTTTCGGGGTCTCCCTATTTCAATACACGCCCACATGAAGGTTTTTGGATGTTTTCGGTCCTTTTCGAACCTTCAACAGAATGCTGGCCTGGCGTCTTTGTTGCACCAAGCAGCCTGACGGCCTGACAGAAGCAGACATGAAGCAATCAGAAAGAGTAGAAGAACAGTCACGGGAGACCCATTCGCACCAGCATTTTGCTGTGGTTGCAATAACTTATTGTTGTTGCAATAGACCCAAGACTTTGACTCAGCAAGTCCAAACTCCGACCCATGCTCCCTGGGCGGCCTGTGTGTCCCAGTTCCCGCTTGGATGTGAACCCCCTTTTACCTTTAAGCACATCGACATTTACAGGATCGAAATGACCGCTTTCATTGGCTATATGAATGGTGGGTCCTGTGACAAAGAGGTACAGTAAGAGGACGCAGGTCGCCGTGTGTTCTCCAAGTCAAAGACGCACTTTGTCGCCATGTCGTATGGCTCCGGCAGACACCGCCCACGCACGCTCGGCCGCGCGCGTGGCGGAGATCGGAGAGCTTGGTCGGCAAGGACGTGGCATGGCAGAGGAGATGCCGAGAGCCGAGAGCATCGGATATAGAAGTTTATAGAAGAATATTTGCATGGACCACTGCGGTCTGTCATGATATGCACGAATTACGTTGGATCTTGACATGCTAGTGACATGCACCCGCATGAACGGACTTGTGAATTTGGGACCTTGATGTCGTACCTTGCTGCATCCTAGGAACCTGCATAAGAATGCGAAAGACCAAACGAGTGACGCTGGACCCTTCCTCAAGTTTAAGCTTTGCCTGACCCCATCTCTCACGTTTAGCCGGCGCAGGGAAGCAGACTACAACTCTCGCTTGCTCCAAGGTTGGCTAGATGCCTTGGCTATCCTGTCATTCCCGAGCTTTCCACTGGACGTCTACGCCTGTGGAGCCGTGGTCCGCGCTTGCGCGCAGAACGGAGAATGGCCAGCAGCTTTGGGCGCGATCCGGCTCGCGCAAGAGGTGACGGTGAAGGACACCAACGGGGGGGCAGAGGAGAATCATTTATTAGGTGTTCCTAATAGCGATGGCCTCCAACCTAAGAATCTAGGGGATTCTAGGGGAAAAGGATGGAAAAGGTGGATATACTGTGACATTGGGGGTGAACGGCCATGAAGGGAACAAGTTCCGCTTTTGACTGGCCAGAGGATATTGATCGCATGTAATTATGAGCAGATGGAATGAGCTTACTTTCTGCTGCTAAGTTTAAACGGAGGGTTTAACCACCAGGACCAGGACATGTTTGTTTTACGAATCGGGATGCCAGCGAGAATGAGCGGGCGTCGGGCAGGTCGCCAGGCTTCTAAAGACCAAATGTCATGATTTGGTCCCTGTCCCCATTGCGTGTGCATAGTCAGTCCTTACCATGGTGATCCTTTCGCATGAGGTGCACCTTCTACCTACTTTCAAGATTCATTGGCTTCGCTTTGCAAAGCTCAGGTTGGAGCCCATCGCTAGTAAGGTTTCTATTAGGCCATTTCTATTAGCTTGTCGAAATCAGTTGGGAAGAAGGTGAGGCTTGGCTGTCAGCGACGTGGAACAAAAATCCGCATCCGACCTTCTGGGGTGTCGGGGGCAAGGCCAATGTGGTGGTTTGCAACACTGCCATCAGTGACCTGGCACTCCCGAGCTGTCCATGACGGAGTGAGGGGGTCAAGACTGGTCACGATGCAATGCTTCGATGGGTTGAAAAAGCCACCATCGCTTCAAAGTTCATATTGATCAGTGTTTTGAACCTAGGACAACTGGCTCTTTTTGGGAACTATACTGTAACTATGGTGAGTCTGTTTAGAAGAGTTGACCAGCCAGCTTTCCAGCTTTGACAGGTGCTTTTTCGAAAAGGACATTCGATGAAAAACACACCAATGCTGGGCCAACACCTTTTCATTCGACCTTGTCGGCTTACTTCTGGACCCCCTGAGGCGCTTGTGCCAAAGGGCACCACTGGCAAGGGGCCTTGGCGCTGTTTCACGACTTGGCGCAACAGGACATCCAGGATTGGAAGCTGAAAGAACAGCTGACTGAAAAGAGCAGCTTTGAGGACTGGTCAGGTCATAATCATATTCAGCTGAAGCATGCTGAAGCATCCTGCAGATGCTTCTTGGGGGGTTGGTTTTGATATGAGTTATCCGTCAAAACCTGACACCCCATGTCAGCATGCTGCTCCGCTTCCGTTCAGGCGGATGTTGTCTCATATGGCAGCCTGATCAGTGCTTGTGCACAAGTTCGGAATTGGCAGCTAGCGATGGCAGCACATTGGCTGCAGTTGCTGAAACACTGATTTCTTCAGACTAGGTTAGTATCCTTGCAAGTGGCACAACCTGTCAGAAGGGGAGAACATTTTTCGGGAGGTGTCTTTCAGATTCAGAGATCGGGAGACTTAGCTTGATGTTGCCTTCCTGGAGATTCAAGGAGCTCTTGGGACTTCAAGACACCGGAATGCACGTCCAAGGCGGTGCGCCTGATGCAGCAGCAGGAGGTTCCAGCCAACGAGATGACTTGCAGTGCAGCCATCAGCGCTTGCGAAGATAGCTCGTGGCGCTGGGCATTAGAGCTTTTTGAGGAGATGCTGATGGAGAGATTGGAAGCAGACATCGATCCTGGGATTTGCCAAACACATCCAAAAACTAGTTTAAACTTGTTGCCGACCAAAACAGTCTTCTTTTCGCAAGAATTCTTAGTTGAAACATGTTGAACCAGTGTTTATTATGTTATGTTTTAGATGTTGCCGCAGAACAAACTAAAGAGCACCGGCGGCTCTTACTCTGGCAAAGGAACTTGAGACTTTTGTTGGATATAATGCCGCGTCCCTTTGTCGAAAAGCGCTTCAATGGGTGTCAGGTGGTAAGCACAGCACTCATGACAGCCTTGAGCTTTGGCAATCACTGGGAACATTGTCTTCACATTGCCGCAGACCTCGGTGAAAAAGTGACCCAAACCACGAGCAACGCCTTGGCGACCTGCTTGCAACGTTCAGCCCAGTGGGCCTGGGTGCTGTCTTTGCTGGAACAGATGGAGACTGGAAGAGGCCAAGAAATGCATGGTCAATTTCCTTCGGATACCCGAGACTACAAGCAATTATATTACTGTAGATAGCCTCATGATCAACAACTCATACAGTCATGCGCAACATAGTCACCTGTCGAAGACACTAGTAATGAATATAGTACTGTAATGAGGTCCTACCGGAATTGCACCTTGCAAAGAGGTTTGGCAAAGCGCTGCACTGCGGACTCCATCACTTACGCTGCCGCCATTGCAGCATATGGTGCTGGCGGTCACTGGCCACAAGCTTTACGCCTGCTGTGGGTGGCTCCTGCACCCAACGCCATTCTGCTCAATGTGGCCATCGCTGCGTGTGGAGAGAACATGCAGTGGCACTGGTCTCTCCAATTGCTGGAGGCCGGACCATTTTCGAAGAAGCAGTCGGCGAAGTTGGAGTTAGGAGCCCAAGAAGAAGGTCAGCCGGCCCAGCCTGTAGCAAGGGATATGGTGGAGATTCCATGGCCCAATTCACCACAAGCGAACAGAAGAGGCATTCCCCAAAACTCGCGCGTGCCATGATCATGATGATCACAGAACTGCATGAATCTCTTGAGGCTGGCATCACACCTGACCTCATTTCCTACAATTCAGCCATGACTGCGTGTGGTGCAGCCTCGCAGTGGCAGCGCGCTTTGGTTGTGTTCGAGTCAATGAAGGCAATGGATGACATGATAGGTGACTTAGGATGACCTAGATCAATATGACTTGGGATAGATGGGACAACAAGAGTGGGACACAAGAGGTTGGGAGAACTTCGGATGGTGACCAGACCTTTGAGAGGCAATGTGCATTAGCTCAGACCTTTTAGAGGCTTTTTGGGCAATGCAACTTGCTGAGATGTCCATCAGTACTGCACTTGCAAGTGGGCAAGATTCGGCAAGATATCGTAGATCTATGTAGATCTCAAGCAGACCATGTAATCATTTCTTCTCAGAAATACACCAGGAATTCTAGTTGTGTTGTTGTTTTGTATCTGTTTCCTTTTTGCAGAGCTCCTCTTGCGATGAGCGCAGGTTCCTCCAGACTTAGTGACCTTCAATGCTCTCGTCACCGCCTTGGGCACCGGGCGCCAGTGGCGTTTGGCCCTCTCCGTGCTTTCTGCTGCGGCGCTTCGGCAGGTGCGGCCTGGCACAGTGACCTACAACGCGGCGATTGCAGCGATGGAGCCCTGGAGGCGACGGTTGGAGCCCTTGGAAAGAGAACCTCAACTAAGGCTTTGGGATTTTGGTTGGGTACGAAGTGTCCAAGCTTTCGTCTAGCATTGTAGTTTCAGGGGCTGAGGAGCAATCCAGTATGAAATCTGTTTGAGACTGAGTCCCTCTTGAGAGGCCGAGCTTGGCCCTCCTGTCCTCCGCAGCTTCATCCATGGTGCGGGTGGATGAAGTGGGGATGGCAGCAGCGATGAGTGTTTGCGAAAGAGGGCATCTTTGGCAGCAGACCCTTGGACGAACATAGGTCAAACGAAGGCAGACTGAAAGGATTGGTATGATTCTTGGGATGATTCTCTTCACGAGGGATGTTCAGCGTTTGGCCCTTTGTGGGGAATAAGCCTGTACAACATGACTTCAAACATGTTGCGGTCTGAGGTCATTGACCTTGCTGAATGCCAAGAACTGTTGGAGTGCTTTGATGCTTGGAGTGCAGACTCATGATTTGCCTTCAATGGGCCCACTAGAATTGTTTAGGTTTGTCGCATTTTTAGTATCCCCTAAGGAGTTTTGCCCAGTCATCATTCGTTGGCACCTCAATTCAAAGACTTTGATCGCCCCAAAAGCAGAAGGTGCTGGATACATTTGCATCTCATAGCTATAGCTTTTCACAGTGAGTTGAGGAGCACTTTTTTGGGAGCACATTTATAAAATATGTCTGTAGCCACCAACCTAGCACAGAATGTCCAGCCGCCAGCCTGAGGAGTTTGATCGCCAAAAATGCCCTCCTGGCTGCCTTTGAGAAGGCACGAAATGCGATTTTTCGCCAATGGAGATGCGATCAACATGTTCTTCCAAAGGGAACAACAGCTTTGTGCTGTATGAGTCAAAGAACTTGAATGGCTGGCCATCCTTTCAACACACTTGTCACCTGTCCATATGGTGCTTCCTATTTGTTTTCTTCAACAATACCGCATGGCACGATTCCGTACGACGTGTCCTTGTGATGCGCGTGTAAAGTCTTGATCATTCGATCAGACAATTCGAATCGTCCGTCTTTGGCCATCAACATCGCCAGTTTTATCTCTAAACCCCAGCCCTAAACTGTTGCTCCAGTTTTGACCCACAGCCTTTCGGTTTGTTCTCCCGTTCTCGGGATCCGCTCGAGCGAACGTCAGGTCGATGATTGGCGCTCCTCTCTGGTCGCACTGGGGCAGATGTGCAGCGAGACCCTCCAAATCGACGAGGCAGTTGACCGTCCTATTGGGATCATCGGTGCCAAGGGATGCGAAGGGATTGGTCTAAAAGGAGGCGGTGCTTGATGTGGAGTGGATTTCATTGGATCAAGGAGGCGCAGGTCTCCCAAAAAGGTCGGGATTCCGAACATGTTTTCCAGGGAGGATTTGGATGCCGGGGTGAAAGTAGGGCTCGAGCTTGGAAGGATTGGGTACGCTTGGAAGGCTGACAGAATCACTGGGTTCAACAGAGTGTGTTTGACCCAGGTCCCCAATCAATAGGATGTTTTCTGACTGGTACAAAAATATAGATTTGGGTGTTGCTCACATCTTCATTAAGATGTTCCGAACTTTTGTTTGACTTCATTGTTGACTCTCAGGTCCAGTGGTGGTGCCAGCATTGTTGTCTCATTTGTCAAAGCATGCGTCCTTTTGTTGAGTCTCAAAGGTCATCAAAGGTATATACCTTCGTTTGGATGCTCATTCCTCTAGCCCTCAATCGTAAGAGTGTCGCCGTTCCATGGAACGAGTCCAGCCGGTTGAGCGCAAGGTGAGTTTGAACAGCTGCGCAAGTGCATGTGAGAAGTCGCAGTTGTGGCAAGCAGCGATAGATGTCCTTGGTGAGCAGCCAGTGGACCTGAGACTTGTAGCTGTTGAACTGCTCAGATGTTTGGATGGACAGCACAAAACACAAAACGTAAACACCATAGCTGTTTGCGGGATTTGGTGCTTCAAACAATGACATATGATTCAATCTAAGGATTGGCTACAACTTGCTTCTTCGCAGCTGCATGCATGCGTCTGACTGGCAATCAGCGAAGCCCGGCATCCACGCCGGCTCGTGGAGAGCGACCTGTAGAGCTTTCTGACATCCTCGGTGGTCGGTGGCAATCCGGGTCAGATAGCACAAATCTTTCTGGGTCGTTGATTTACGAAGGCACAAAGGCACCAGGATTCACAGAGGGAGCAGTGTATCGTTCTGCCCAGACGTGCTTCGGCCAATTCCGAACCGTTCACGGAGAACAACGACACGGTGACTGTTCACGGTGACCGTAGCGTTGAAAACTCGCCCTCAGGATTGCAGTACTTGCGGAGATGCGGCTCTCGGGCCCTCAACCCGAAGTGATCAGCGTGGCAACTGCAGTGGATGCTTGTGTGGCTTGTTCCACTTGACTGACGTTATTTTGTTTTGCTTGCTTTGCTTTGCATGTTACAGCATGTGTGTGTGTGTGTGTGTTTTTGTTGGGAGGAATTGGCCTTCATATAGTTATAGAATGTGTTTCCTCAATGATGTTCCAGGTCAGTGTGCGGAGTTTTCGCCAGCTCGGTCCTTTGTGTTCCCCCAAAATGCTCAGGCTGATCAAGCTCTCCAGTGCACAGCAACTTGGCAACCATTTTCTGTGTCTATGAGTCTATGAGTCTATGAGCGATGTACATGCATTCTGATGGGGGCCAAAGGGGGAAATGATAGCGACATGTTGCATGACACGCAGTAAGGAGTTCCAAACTGGTGTTTTGCCATTCCTTCATGCAAACGGCATGTTCTTTTAGCTGAAAAAGAACAAACACAAAAAGACACATGGTTCATACATTCAACGGTGTTCATTTCAAAATGACCATCCACCTTTGTTGTGTAGATGGTTCTTTCTTGGGCGTTCAAAAATCGCTGCAACATCGAGAAGGATTGCAAATCGCTGCGTGTGTTGTTCCAGTGATCGATGAAACCAATTCAATTGAGCCATTCTCCCCCGATGTTGATGGTACTGCTTCCGCTTGAGGAGCTACTGGAGCAGCTTCAGCAGCATGCCTTGACGAGGCCAAAAGGGACGTCCTTCGCCTACAGGATGAGGTGGGATGACATGAGCCGGCGTATAGGAAGATGCAACTTTGTAGGGTGAATGACATGAAACAATGCAACAACAGTATCTGCATGTGGTCCATTCGGTTTCGCGTGTGTTCGAGGCACACCCAGCCGTGTCATGCTTCCGAGTTGTGTTACTGAAGAATGTTGGATCGCAGACTGTGTGACTGAAAGCTCTTGTGCACAAGCTTGCCTGTCTCAAAAGTCAAAAATCAACATGAGTCACAGAGCAAGATGCCTCTATATCATTCTACTGGTATATCATAGAATAACTCAGCTTCATTGCCGAGCCTCAAGTTTCAAAGCCAATTCGGCCAGCCACAACAAAATGGCCGCCAAGACGAGGCAAATCAGAATCGCAAATCCAGCACCAACATGGGGATTTGCCTCCTAACTTATCACAGTTGAGCTGATCAAGCTAGAAGAGAACTCTTTTGAAGCTGAGCTGGCGCTGACATCAATGCCTCCTGCTGCAATGTCAAACCATAGCACCGATGAGTCACTTGACCAGCCGAAAGCTCAAGATGCGGCGGGCGGATCGGTGGGTATGAAAATGAGGGCATCATAATAAGTGCATGTAAGTGTAAGTGCCTTGGATTGCGCGGTGACCTTGGCACTAGAGCCACAGTGAAAACAAGGCAACTTGCCTTTGGGACAAGAACCAGCAACTCTCCAATAGCAAGAACAACAAACGTCGACCATGGCCATGGCTCAAATGACTGTGTCACTGCAAACAACGACATTTGCTAGGCTTCGGCAGACAGCTCGTCGCAGAACAGCGGAGGGCACAGTGAAGGGCTTCGGGGGCAGGATGCTCGTGGTTCAATTCACAGTATGGGAGATGGACAAAGCTGAGTTGCAAGCCCACAAACTTGCATAGAACATATCCTTTGTGACACTTGTTGGATAGCCAAGGGCCAGAAGAACTTTCTAGGTCAGTGCAACCTGCGAGTATAGTGATAATATAGTTATATGAAGCAGAAGGCAGAAATCAAAGCTGGAAGGCTACGCAAGCATGTGGGTCGCATACTTGCTGAGCGCCTTGGGTGTGTTTGCAAGTGCATCATCTATTTGTCAGCACGTTTGCCGTACTCGTTGCTGCAGAGAGACAACCGCAAGTCTCCACATACTTGTAGCTTCAAATTTAGGTGACCGTGATACGATATAAAGACCTAAGCTGACCTGAGCTAAGCCAGCTCCTGCTGAGTCATTCTTCCAATCTTGGTTTCCAGGTACCCCTTCCTTCGAGTCACATTTCACGATGCTCAGAAAGATTCCACCTAGCACTGCAACATGGATCGTGTTGATAACCCTTGATGGCTGGTTGGGAAGCCACCCGAAAAACAATCCTTGTGAAGGAAATGACCGACCGAGACCCTCTCGGCATGGCGGGCCCACACCGCAAATGGCTGCATTTGAGGCGACACCTGGCCCACGTCCAGGTGGGACATGTGGTGTCCTGTTGCATTCAAGGAATTTGGGAGTCTTTGAGGATAATTCTGCAGTGGCACATGGCATGGGTGCTTGATTCTTTGATCATTTTTGATCATATTATGTATATACATTGCCCTTCAGAGGAGAAAAGAATCGATGAAAGACAACCCAAAACGCAATGCATTGCAAGTCATCCAACCGACGCGATGTCCCTGCTCGTTTTCCACCGCGTCGTCTCGTCGGAACCACGGAGGTCTCAAGTCTTCACCGAGCCGCGAGGGCCCCGAGGCGCAGGGGGTACGATTCCGGGGCAAAACCAGACAGATGGAGAAAAGAAGGATAGAGGGGGATGAGGGGTTGAATGGGGTAAATGGGTACATGCATGGGTTGAGCATGGTTGAATATGGTTGATCTACGATATGTTTGTGATTTGTTTGGGAGGTGGGTGTGGGTGGTGAAGTTTCACTTCACTCACACAGTAAAACAATCGTGTGATATTGGAAGCATCTATATCTAGTCCTATCTCAGATTCTCGACTTAGAAGGAGTTAAGTTCAGCCACAAGCGACTGAGTCGGAAACTTCATATTATACGTAGACATACTGACGTACTTCCAAATTATACTTCCTATTGGTTTCTAGCTTGCAAATGATCCTTCGAACAAATATGAAAAAAGACTTGTATGTCCCCGTGGGCGTCCATGGCCAGAGAATTCACACTAATTACTTGCGGCCGAAGGCTTTGATGGGATCATGTGCATTTGAATGCATTGGCAAGAAGTAGAACGCCCGAGGAGAATCGAAGTCAACTGAGGCAAGTCGACTGGAATCATCCAGTTTCACCGACGAGCCCATGCCGGAGAGCTCAGATGCGGCGAGATGCGGTGTCGGATCGATCCGATCGATGGCAACATCGGACGATTACGGTCGTCTGTCAAACCAAACGATTCGGCGGTTCAATGAATTGAAGATCCAGTGATGTGGGCCATCCTTGCTTGTTCGTAGCTTGGTGCAATTAAGACTGCAACAAGTGCAGTTGATGGATTGGTGTCTTGCGGTGATGCATTTGGCCTTGGGTATTCTCATGCTTTCTCCTTATTTGGTCAAGGCTTTCTCTCAGCCATTAGCACACTTCCCTTTAAAGACTTATGATGCAGCGAGAATTCCAGGACCATGAATGAAGCCTTATGAAACGACGATCCTTTTCTTTATAACATGCAAATTCCAAGGGATTGTTTATAAACACAAGGGCCATCAAGGGCCTGTATGTTGGCCAAATATTTTGGACAACTGCCTAAGATCTGGAGTAACTGCCTAAGAATTGGAGTATCGATTTACACAGGTCAGAGTCATATTTAATAAACTTCAGTAACTTGGAGAGTGAATGACAGTAATAGATGGGAGGTGCACCCACAAATAAAATCATATCATAAGAATTCAGTTGGCGAGGTGTTGGAGGCTGGTCAGAATTCCCCGATTCGCAATTATCATTTCATAAATTGTGTCTCCTGGATGTAGATTTCTATCTTAACCTATCATGACCTATGCTGGTCCTTTTATAAACTACTTGGTCTTGCACTTTACAGTATAAAGCAAAACACCTATCCCTCACATTTTATAACCACAAATGGTTTATAGACACAAATGGTTTATAAAATGAAAAGCCGACCCGCCTATGAACAATCAAGGGGAATGGATATTCCAGGTTTGGTCCTTGAATGCCTGAGGTGGATGCAAAGGAGACCATCCAACAATCCTATAGAGCAAGCAGATGAGGCGTGATTGTTTTTATCACCTGGAGGTCGTTTGAGACCATGACACGGTCCAGTTCTCGAAGTTCGGCGATGGTGTCATGGCATAGTTGGCGATGTCACAGACGACTCTGTTGCCAAGTGCTGCCTTGAGGTTGTCAAGCAACATGTGCACAGAGCCACAGAGTACAAAAAAGATCAAAAAAGCTTGTAGTGCACCAGAGTTTATCTAGACTATTCTAGAGTGATCGTTTTTGGAGCTTCAAAACAAATGTTGATCACACATGCAGTATGGGTATACGGTATACAGTAATGATCGCTGTGAGCACAGTGTAAAGGCAAGTTAGTTCTCACACTAGCTGCCATGGAATCATCCTTGAGAGGATCCGGAAGGGGAAACTGGCCACGGCCATGGTTGGCGGAGATAAGATATCCCGAACTGACCAGGCCCAAGAAGAACTTTTACACAGAGCATCCTGTTGTGTTCAATTGGACCTCCAGTGATGTCGAAGGTCTTCGCATTGAGAATGGCATTGAGATTTGCCCGGAGGTCCCCCGCCAGAATCGGCCACTCCGACCGCCAGCACCTGTGGACGACCTTTCCCTTGCCAAAGTGTCAGATCAATATTTGCAGGTGATCCGAGAGCTAGGCGTTTGCAGCCCCACACCCATCCAGATGCAAGTTTGGCCAGCTGCCATGTGCGGCTATGACATCATTGGTGTTGCTCCCACTGGCAGTGGCAAGACCCTGGCATACCTCGTGCCGCTGTTCGAGCACTGCACGCGGCAACCGGGTAATGTGCGCCATGGAGAACCTGGCGAAGGACCTATCGGCCTAGTTATACTCCCAAATCCTGAGCTGGCGCGACAGGCGGGACAAAACCGATAGGGTGCTCGGTTGCAGTGTAGTCTAGAAGTCTAAGAAGAACAAAATGTTGAAGGGAGAAATAGCCTGTGGCCTCCTAGAAATGTAAACCTTTGTCAAATCCATGCTGAAATCCAGCAGAACCAGGTCATGAGTACTGCAACAAAGTTCAGCAAAGCCTTCAATCTCTCTGTTCGCAGCATGGTGCCTGGTCAAAAAGTACAGTCCGTGCACGAGTTCCAAGCCGACATCTTGGTCGCTTCCCAGGCACGGTTTAGACGGCATGCTGAGGTGGTGGGTGGCGATCAGCTCTAGTACACACTTGCTACTAGTAAGAATGCTCCTAGTAACAAGTGCCTTACTAGTAGTAACAAGAAGCTATTAGAATTAAATTAGAATTAGTAAGAATGCTCCTACCAGGAGCCCCTAGTAGCATCTTTGCTCCTAGTAGTAAGGCCAGGAGCCCCTAGTAGCTTCTTGTTCTTAGTAGCTTCCATAAAATCCATGAAATTCCATTGTACATCAAAACTTTCGAATGGGGATTCAACCCCCTATAAAGTGATTCCCGGAAAATCTATTTTTTGGGTGTCGCTTTTTTATCCTGGAAATTGTTGGTACCCCCCTACTTATTCCGCGTTCCCAAGTTGTACGCACTCAGCCCTGCCAGGGCAAGCTGTGGGAGTTCTTGCAAAATCTCAATCTTCCCGGGCAGCTCTTGAACTTTCTAAAGCGGACGACCTTTGTTGTGGTGGATGAAGCGGATAGCGTTCTCATAGACGATCAACAGCTGTTCCTGTCCGAGCTCTTGTCGAAGCTGCGACCTGACGTTCAGCTACTTTGCTTCACAGCCACTTGGCACGCCGGATTGTCTCAGAAAGTCTCGAACGCCGCTGGAGGAGCCAATCGGTCGCCTTTGGAGATTGTTGTGAATGGCAGGGAACTCTCTGCTTGCAAGTCTGTGCAGCAGAGGTTTCTTCGGAAGGAGAAGACAGAAAAAAGGCACCAAAGCCAAAGGCCTCTAAATCACGAGGAGGAGCAAGAGAGAAGAGAATCTGACATCTTGCAGGCCTACTGGACAAGTGAAGAAACTAAAGATGATGCTCTCTACAAGGTTATATATTGGCTTGTCCAAGACGAGCCTGACACAGGGAACGAGAAAATATTGGTTTTTGTGAATTCCAAAACCTCTGTCCAGCATGTCGTAGACATGCTCACAAATGAAGGCTTTTCCGTCGCAGGCATGACTGGTGAGATGACCACGCGATTGAGGGAAGATCTACAGCAGAAGTTTGCAGACCCTGCAGAGAAGCATCCACGGATTTTGGTCTCTACTGACCTCCTGGGACGTGGGGTGGATTTCGTCACTTGCTTGCATGTGCTCATCTACGAATTCCCACTTCGCATCACTGAGTACGTTCATCGCGTGGGTCGAACTGGCCGAGCTGGGAAGCCTGGCTTTGCACTCACCTTCCTGGAGGAAGACAAGCATGACATTCGCTTCTACGACAAGATCGTGAAGGTATTGGAAGCCTCGGGACAAAAGGTTCCAGCGTGGATGAGAAGGGAAGCAGACCACCCGAAGTTTGGATCCAAGTGGCATGAACGCCTTTATCAGAGGCAGAAGGTGGAGGGACAACGCGCGTATGCTGAACAGGAAACCCAAGACATTCGCGGCCTCCCAGTGTACACCTATGGACCTGAAAGCTTGAGGAGTGGACATGAATGGGGTAGCGTCCTGAAATCTTTGGGACTCCCATGCTCCCCGCTCTTCGATGAGAACAAGAATGCGATGCCAAAGGTTTTTTGAGACCAGGGATCGGATGCGTCGCGAAAAAGTTCGCAGCACTCGGAGATTCTTCATTGCAGAATCTTTTGTTGTTTGCTTTGATGTGTTCACCTCCATGCATTATCAATAGTGTTTGATGTTGAACACTTGGAAACAAGTTCTTAAACCTGTTGAATCGCATTGGCTCTTCAGTTTAGTCCAGTTTGCATCATATACTAGGAACGCTTAGGACCCGCATCTTCGCCTTGGGATCCAACGGCTCGCACGGGGTGTCCACCCGGAACCATGCGGCGCCAGAAGCCGGCTTCGAGAAGCCGGCAAGAGTGGCCCGGGATTCAACAACGAAGCATCATTGCCCTGGTCCCGTCTCCCAGCTGGGTGAGTGGAGAGTGCATCGACATGCATCGACGGGAGAGTGACTGGAATGACCTTGTTCAGAACAGGTGTTGAGTAATTGTTTGCGAGCTGGATGCCACCAAACCTTGCATGAACACAGGCCAGGGCTGTGTTTGGAGGTGTGTAGTCGCGGCTAAGATGTGAACAGGTTGTCAGGACCTGCAGTCGCTTCAGGTCCTATGCTTTTGCGCCATGCTTTTGGCTACTGGTCCTGCGGCATATTGCTGGCTGAACCACGCAGACTGGTCCTTGGAACTGAGGAAATGCGCCGCAAAAGTAGAGGTTTAACATGATTTAACAGCCAGGGACCTTGTGGAATGGGGTGTCCATAAAATCATCAGCGGGTCTTCGCAATTCAATTCCTACTCTCGTTCTTAATTGACCCATGAAGGATGCACCAGATTCACAATTGTTGTTGTATTTTGCAACAGAGATGCAACGTGGCCTGTGGGGGACTGTGGAATTCCATGTTCAACTCCATGTTGAGGTTCGAATCAGTTTGATTTCCGTTCGTATCAGGACATCAAACCTGTAGCATCGGCACTTGTTTGTCTCACCCGGCGCCCGGAACCCTCCGCTCTAAGGGCCGAGCGGATATGGCGGATGTCTATCGGGGTGGTGCGCACCCCACGGAGGAGAACTCCTGCTGCGCAGAGGTGCCGAGCTAGACTGGGGTTCAAAACAAGTATGATTGAAATGAAGACACACATGGAAAAGATCGGGAACTTATTGTCCTTTGTTTGCATGCTAGTAACTAGCACCAGATATTGAAGTCACTCCATTCAAAAAAGAAAAGAGTCAAAGACAGTGTCAAAGACTGGGTGGGTCACTGAAAGCCTCTTTCCCTCCTTTCGGGGGTCCGACCAGGCCACCCCAGGCGCCCACCATCGGCCGGTGCTTTACATCGGCAGTGACTACGTGAACGAGGCCAGCGGGGCATGGTTTGGGCACGATGGCCTCCGACCTACTTGCAATTGCAAGCCATATTAGATAAACCTTTCTTCCTTTTCGTTTTTCTTTGTTTCTTATAGCAATGGAAGCGATGGCCTCCAAGGGTTGGCGTTGAAAGAAACCCACAGATCTGAGATGTCACTTGGAGAAATGGTCGGGAGGTTGGAGATGTTATTTATTGGAATGTTTTGGATGTGCCTTAGGTTTGATTGGCTCGTGGCTTGCATATGCTGGTCTTGACTGAATACATTTAATTTCAGTCATTTGCTTGTGGATGCTATAATTGACAATTGAATTCGGGACATACTTCTGGCAACTCTATCGCTTGTGCATGCGTCACCAAGCGGAAGAAGCAATACGACGACGGTGCAAGTATCCTTATTTGTGCCGGATACCTTGAGCAGCTAAGTCAAGTTCTCATGAGACTTCTTTTGGAGGTGTAGATTAGTGTAGATTATGTAGAAAGCAGAATCCGACGTCAGGTGGCCTCGGGCGGCATCAATGGTTTGCTGATGATGGCCGAGTCCTCGTAAGGAAACATGGCCGAGCTCACGCAGATTCACAGTTAAGCCCAGTGAACTCTCATGCAGCAAGTAGTGAATGGAGTTAGCCCCCTTTTCTTGCTTGCCTTCCTAGAATAGAATCATAGCGTTGCTTCCCCACACTGTGTTCCTCCACCATAATCACACACTTCATGATCTACTGTAGATTTATATAGATCAAGTGTAATTGTTTGCTGAAGACCTACAAAAACCATCAAAACCGACTCGCTTGATTCATTGGGTCATCATATTCTCACCTCCTATCGGTGCCGCCGTTTTGTGGTTGAGGTGGCCACCGTGGTGGCCGGCATCGGCATCGACCTGCCCGGTCCCCACATCTTGGCCATGGGAAGTGCCGGGAGCTCAGTGTGAGCCCGGTAAGGTCGTCCACAGGGAGAGGTGACCTCTTCTTTCACACACCTTCCACACTGGAGAATTTGCCTGAGATTTACTGTAGGAGATTAGCTATGAATGAATTTTGGAGGATTTGAGGATATTTTCGGGTGCATTCCTTGCACCCAGCGGTTCCACTAGTCTCTGACCGGAGTCGCTCCGGAGCCCATGGACTTGTGGTCTTTGGGAGGCCAGCCTCATCTCTTACGGCTTTTCCATGGGCTTCGGCGCTTTCATGGTGGGGCTGACCTCCGTCGCCAGTTGGTCACCTTGCAGGTTGCCAGGTTGGCTTTTGCCATACTACAGGACAGCTTGAGGAATGTACTTGTTTGACGCATACCCTGTTTCACCGGGACATTATTTGTATCTATAAGTGATAGTAGGCCATTGAGTTGTGTCCGGAAGTGACTCAACAGCCGTGACTCAACATGAGTTGGGAAATTGGGAAACTCTGAAACGGGAGCCTGCGTCCTCGCTCCTGGTAGTAAGGCCTGGAGCCCTTAGTAGCGTCCTTGCTCCTAGTAGCGATGCCCTTTGTTCCTAGTAGCATTCTGGTCTAAGCGATCTTCACCTCATATTCCGTTTTTCCAGTGGTCCCCACGGAAGCGCTGGTTTCACACCTTCCTAAACCTGGCAGGTGGAAGAGGCCAAGGAAGGTTTCGCTCGCAGCCAGCTGGAGGAAGAGTTGGGTACCTGGAGGACTTCTCGTTCGTCGTTGTTCTTTACGTGTCTCGGGCTTCGGAGCCCTGGGGGAACTTCAACTTCTGAATTGACATCCATTGGATGTCATTGGATCGTTTCAAGATCGCAACAGTGAATGAGTCACTAGCCTTTGATTGTTTTCGAGAGTGACGAATAGTGGCGATATTTTTTTGAGGACCAATTGCAAGATGTTGGGAAGTCTTGATTCACTATACAATATACTATCAAATCTGATGTGACAAAGGGATGCAATCGACAGTGACATGTGCGCTTCTTTTTTGCCTGCCGAGGTACAATGAAGTGCGAGCCATGCCGTCCGCCGAAGTGGATGAGATGATTTGTCACTACAGGCAACTGAGAGACTCACATGCACTGAGTGTCACTGAGTGTCACAGATTCAGAGCAGGTTCGGGCCAACGGATTGGGGGCCAGATGGTTCTTGATACCATGTGTACGTCTGAGATGTTGGTGTCAGATTTCTTCCTTTACATCCCCTTTTCCCAAAGCAACATCATAGGCCAAACTCAGAATTAAGTGGGAGCTTCGACTGTAAGCTCCAGGAAACGTGGCCTATCCGAGGAGGCCATGGTTGTGGAATCGAAAAGAAAAACAGTCGAGCTTTCTTGGTAGCAGCAGAGGGTCGTCAAGTGCGAGACTTGTGGACTTGAGGTACAACGAGACGCATTCTTGTTTCGAAAGAGGATTTATATATATATATATATTAATATACATAGTGTTATATATATATATAGCTGCTGTAAGTGCTCTGTTCGGAGTGTCAAGTAGGCAGATCAGCGACAAAAGTTGGGTATGTTGATTTTCTATGTTTTTCTCCATTCCCTGTGAACACCTGCTTTTGGCGGAGGTCATTGTTGTCAGGCAAAGCCGTCGTTTGGTTTCCGATTTCGGCTTGTTTGCTTCATCTATTGCGACTGGTACAGTATGCACGAGCCGTATCCAGCATGGCTGCAAGGCCTTACTGCACGTTCGTTGTCATACCATTGCTCTGGCTTGTTGGATCAGGATGCTCGCCATGTGGCCAAGATCTTCTCCAAATATGAGGCCAGTTACTGTAGTTTTGTGATGGCTTGAGCTGTGAATCTTTTGTCCTAGTAGCTTCTTGCTACTAGTAGCCAGGAGCTACTTAGTAGCTTCATGCTCCCACTAGCGATGCCCTTGTTGCAAGTAGCGAGCTGTTGAGTCATGAATCGCCGAACTTTGCCCGAACTCAGAGAAGTGATAAGGCATGCAGCATGCGGAATGAGCATAGCTTGCTGCCTAGATCATGGAGAACTCGAAGAAAGCAGACCGGTTTTAAGGTTTCCATGTGTTATTCAGCAGATATACTGTATCTTGTTTTTGGTGTGGATGCCGATCTGCTGTATCTCAAACACACAGATGTTTTGCATCATAAACCCAAAGCTTCGTGACCGGCGCAAAGCAGGACTTTTGGGTTCACCACATGATGGCCGAGGAGCTAGGCCAGGCTCCGGTGTGGTTGGGTCATCGAGGGGATGGCACCCGAACGAACACGGCATCCGACGGCATCCTCGGTGCCATCTCGGCCGCAAATGCCTTCGAGAATATGTATTATATGTATGGGTCCCTGCACCCAACCAACAATATCAACAATCCAAAACCATTCCGAATGTTGTGTCGAAGGATGAGAGTTGCCACAGCGCTGCATGGGCTGCTCAGGAATCCAATTGCCACGGGGCCCAACGGCTGCGATGAAGTCGGGTCTGGCCGGAGATCCCAGCCGAGTGGTGCGTGGGGAGGTGACGCGGGTCAAGATGGTCAAGGACTGTCGATGTGTGGTTTCAGCACTTGGAGAAAGACACAGAGCAACGGAAGCCTGGCATAAGCCTGGTAACCTGTTAGATACTGAGGTCATCTCGAAAAGCAGCATGCATGGCAGGGTCATTCATCAAGCAAGGAGATGGTCTGGTAAAACATTGTACTTATAAAGTATTTAGTATTGAGAAACATCTTTAACTTTAACGCTGGAACATGTTTATTTGCTTGGGTCACTTACATTGTGTCAACATGCGTCAACAAGGTTCGAGGGAGTCTGAGTTCACGGGTCAGAGCAGGGGTAAATTCACCAGTCAAGAGGCTGAGAGCAGATGTCAAAAATAATCCCAAAGCCATAGACATCCATAGACCATATAGGAATCGATCTATATAAGCGACACGTGCAACCTGGGTGAAGTCAGAACTCAAAAGGTTGCTTCCTCCCTCGCTAACCTGGTCCTCGGCTAGGAAAATCCACCCGCAACAGACGCCTGAGAAAAGATCCTTGTGAGTCCGTGAGAATTAAGTTCCCTAGGAATCTAGAAACCAAATGATTAGTGTGAGTGCTTCTTCAAGGAAGCAGGAGCTATCCTGCGTCCTAGCTAGGAGCGAACTTCTCTTATAGTATATAGCGTGTTTAGTCCCATACCATTGATTAGGCACTTACTTAATTCAGTAAGGGCGGGCTAAAAACAGATAAGGATAATGTTGTCACCAATGGAAACAAGGCAATGCTGCAACCATTCCGTATTTCTACAAGAACGGCAGATCAACTGTGACAACACCCATCAACCCATCATGACCCACAGTCACATCATGTTGACCTTGGGTACGCTAGGTCAAGTCTGTCGTTGCGTATTCACAGAGCTTTCCCTTGAGGCCACCGGCACTTCCTTCCTCATCTTCGGCTTGGTTCCTTTGCTAGGCGCAGTCGAGAAACCCTGGGAAGCTCTCAGTGCACAGCCAGCCACACAAGATAGTAACAGATCGGAGTGGAATTGGAGAAGCTTGGGAGATGCTCTATGAATCTAACATTTCGTACCTTCCTGCCTCAGGCAAGAGAGGCTGAACTACTCAACACTCAATGCATAGCAGCATAGCATTTGTGTGACTGTGTGACACTATATAATTACGTTTACAGAGCTTTATATTAGGTTGGAGGCCGTCGTTACTTGCTTGGAGGCCATTGCTACTAGAAACAAAGAAAACAAAAATGAAGAACGGTTTGTACAAGTGCTGATGGTAAATCGGCGAACTGAATCCCTTGATTGCATTTGCATTTTGGTGGCTCACGAAGACATCATCACTTCTCACAAAGGAGCAGAGGGACAGAAGGTCCAACTTGAAATCGTCTCGGCGTTGTGGTTTCAGGATTCATGTCAATGTTGGCGTGAGGCCTAAGAAGTCAAGTGAGCTTGTTGTTTTGTTTTTTTTTTAGGGTGTCCAGTTTATGTAGGACTGGGATGTTCGACTTAGGCGAAGCATACCCCCGAGGCATACCCTGAAGCATACCCTCTGGAAATGCTACTACTTTAGTCTTGAAACTGCGCGAAGCATACCCCCGAAGCATACCTCCGAAGCATACCCCATAGTCAAACATCCGGGCCCGGGAACCTTAAAAAAATACAAACCCAAATGTGTTCAGGTTTGGTCATCTCCACTTGTTTGCGGAGCTGCGCCGGCCCAGCGTTAGGGGCTCAGGGAGACAGAGGAGTCGTCCTCTCGAGGAATATGTGGCCTGTTTGAGGGGCCGATCAGACAGAAAGTGTGTTGAGCACACCCTGTTTGTGGATGCCTTGTTCCGATGACTGCACCTCCCAAAACTCCTAAACCATTGAGTCAGATATTCTTGCGAAGCCTTTCACAAGCGGCCATCCCTGCCACACGGTTACATGACCAGGAGGATGGGGAGTGGGTTCTGGTTGTCCGATCGAGAATTTTGTAACATTTGAGCACGATATATATATATATATATACATGTTTAAACATTATATATGATATTGTTAAATATCGATAATTTGTAGCAATATGATTTATATTTATCGTTATATAATAACGTTAGTTTTGTTCTGTTATAATCGTTGAGAGTTTTTGGATGCTTTCGGATCCCGGCTCATCACACCGTCATGGTATCGGCACAGTGCCGCGCTCAGGTGGTATCGGCCCCAATTCTCCACAGCCATGTCGCTCACACTGAGTGTCCGGTGATCTCAGCTAGGAACGTGTGCCAGCTTCCAAGTGATGTGACAATGTAGGTGTGCGTGATTATGGCACAAGAAAGGCCTCCTCACGAAGATTCAGAGGTCAGAATATGCAGCTCCAGTTGCTGCGGTTGTTCGTTTGCAAAATTCAGTGATCCAATGAATCAGGGATGAATCCACCAGGCAGGGTTGGCCGGTCACCCCCTCCCACTGCCCACACTGCACTCCTGTGGTTCTCTCGACCCAAGGCCTTTGCACTCCTTCTACTGGGCAGCTTGGTGAGCCGTTTGGTCGGCAGTCGGGGCATCTCAGCAAGCCAGCGAGTCGGCAGCGGATGCAAGTCAAGCGGACGGGGTGGACGGCGAACCTTACAGGTGACCGACCGCGAACAGAAAGTGAGCTTCTAAGATAGCTCTTAGCTGATCAGCTGATGTGTTTCTTTTTAATGAATTGGTTTATGATTGTTCAAAGATGTTCAAAGTGCTCGACGAGGAACAGTTTCTGACCCGACTCACATCTTCCGTGAAATGGTCGCACTGTTTCCTTTCTCAGTTTGCGCACGGGTGAGCTGTGTAAATCGAGGCGTTTTCAACCCACTTTCAGGAGGTGGAAGGATGTGGAAGTCCCGTACCCGACGTTTCTTTCAGCTGCAGTGTTTTCGGCAAAACGCATTTCATGGTGAAACTGTCTCGTTTCGTGGTTGGAAGGTTTCCACGTTGCTTCTTTGCCTTGGCAAGGTTTGGACACCAGGTTTGGAAGGTAATCAATGGCGCAAAAGACCTTCATGGTCTCAACATGTCTCAGCACGTGAAAACAGGCGCCGCGTCTCCTGCAATGGCAGTGTTCACGAATCCCGCGGGCTGGCAAGCCGACAAAACATATGCAAGGCCGGACACCGTTGGTCAGCGGAATGACAATGCTGGCGAATGGCGGGTGGCTGAGTGCCATGAGGGCAGGGGTGAGGAGTTGGGTGGCTGGTTGCTTGCCTGTTGGTATTTTTGGTAGGAGGGTGTCATATGATTTCTGGGCATGTCACGAACCTTCGAGGCAGCCAAGTGCTGTTGCCCAAGAAGAAGCAGACATGCAAACCACCTCAAAGAATCCTCTTCACAACGTCTTCTCCATGGTTTGGAAGTCTGGTCTTTACAGGTCGGTCCCCCCATTTATTTGTTGAACTGGGAACACCCTCAAGATCAGTATGTTGTGACGCATGCGACGGATCTGGATTCTCACAACATCCTGGAGGGCTTCGCCATCCAGGTTTTGCCGCCTCGATCATGGCCTTTGCAGTCAGTCAGCTTTTATCCACTGAGATGGAGAAGAAGGTGGGTGATTTGTGCGACAGTTCTTCAGGAGGATTTGGGTGTGGCACTGTGCTTCGATGCCTGTGCCTTTTTCAAGTGTATGCTGAGAAGTTAGATTGTATTTTTGTGAAGTAGGTCAAAGATGTTCGCCATGTACAGTATCCCTCTCAAAAGAACAAAAAGGAACTAAGCTTCTCAGTTCAACGTTCCAGTTGTTGGCTATTATTTTTCTGGATAGGCACAATCCGAGTTTGCAGCTCACATTATCCAACCATGTTTCACAGGTTTGGCAATAAAAGGATCCACAAATAATCCAAGGAAGGACCTCAACATGGACTGCCACAAAACCTCCCTTGCCCGTGGGCATCAATCAGCGGTGAGCCACCAGAATCAGCGTCGCATAGCGAGCCACCAGAATCGTCCGGTCAGGACGATGCGTATAGATCAGATCACATGTGGTGAGTAGCAGACGATGCTCCTTCGAAAGGACAAACTCGCACTGTGCAAGGAGCGATGGGCTGGGTTAGTGGTGACTGAAGCTGTGAGGCTTTGGGTGCCAAAGTCTCAGAGGTCGACGAAGTGCGGACGCCCAGCGAAGGGCTGGGTTTCTTGGGCTGTGCGGTGGGGCGGGGTGAATGTTTTGGCACCTTGGTTGGAATTGTGGGCTGATGGGTTCGATCCATCTTGAGAGCAGTCGATTGTGTCCGAGGGTGTTTGAATCTCGAAGACTCTTGGTTCGGAACCTAAGTGCCTGGAATTACGGATGGGATGTTGCCCAAGAATAGTCTTCATGCATAAAATTACTCCCACCCCTAGGCAGGCGCCTTTGTGCCGTATTGAACACTTCTGCACAGAGACGTGTGTAGTTTCAGGCCATGCTAGCTCCTGGGTCATCGGCTGGTTCAACTCCGTTCAGGAGACCCTGAGCAATGACTTAGCATGCATAGAGGCCACGTGACCAGCCAATCGCCCCTAAGCATCCCAGCCAGTGGGTTTAGGATGGCGACTGATGACAAAGCACGCGCCCAACTCCTTCGGTGCCACTCCTCACACCAACTCCTTCGGTGCCACACCTGTGCAACGAACGCCTCCAGGTGCCACAACCTGTCGCCAAGAGGTGCCCCAAGAGGCGCATCTGCGCGCAGCAGTGGTACGTTCGGGGGGATCGTTGGGGCACTAGTGGAACTGTACTATCATGTACTATCATATGATACTATATGACTATGTAGAATTGAATGTCGTTGGCCATGAAATGGCTCAAGGTCCATTGTATGTGTTCCATTTCATGTTGACAGCAACCCGGCTGGTTTTGGCTGCTAGGCTTCGCCTTGACAGTGGTAGCCTCCTCCTCAGAGCCTTTGGCACGTTGCCTTCGTGGGTGACTTGCAGTGGATGCCTACCATGTTAGCTGCATAAGTCTTTCTTCTAGGTCGTGAACTCATTTGTCTTCCCCAACCAAGATTATACCTAGTAGGTGGAACGTTCCACCCAGGAAAATCCGCAAGTTGATGGATCTGAACTCCACTTAAAAGGATTGAAACTCCTTTTGCGTTCCGACCACTCTGACCTGAGGCTCTCAGCCTGGATCGGGCGTGCAAATGAGTGAGCCGGGCGTCGGGGGCCCCCGCATGGAAGAACAAAGAAGAATGAATTGGACGAATGAGATGAATTCCTCAACTGGTTTTGGATCAGTGGTGATCAGTCTGACAATGTCAAATATGTCAAGTGTCTTGCTGATGGAGTCTGACAGTCTCTCATTGTAGCACTCATCCTTTGTGCTGGCCAACTCGGTTTTGCAACTGAGACCGTCACGGGGGGATCAATTGATGTTTTGCACTCGAGGCTTGGCCCACCTTTCGGCATCAGTTTTTCCTTAGCAGTTTCATGCTGTGGGTCCGGTGCCCCAACTGAACACACTCTGAAGGTGGCCGAGTTGACACAACTCGTCACCATGGCCGCCAAAATACATCCATGTCATCAATTCTTCATGACTCTTGATGGGTTCTAGTGAGGAAATTGTTTTTTTTGCCAAGTTTTGTTGCCACTCATGACATTGTGCTACTTCGTTGCTTTATGTGTTTTGTGTTTTTCACCTGGCCAGGTGGCCGTGTGTTCGGCGATCGTGGCCTGGCAGACCTTCTCCCGGGCCTACGTCGCCTTCGAACGCCGGGGACGTCTGACGTCAATCTTTGGGACGCCTGGGGAGAATTCTTTTTGGAAAGACATACCCAATTTTACCTAATAGCAATGGAGAATCTTTTTAGAAGAGCAGTTTGGAAAGAGCATCCAAGCATGGGGAGGAGAAGAAGCGTGAAGTTCATGAAGGGCGAAGCCTTTGGCTTGGTGTTTCCCCCGAACAGGTTTTGCGGCCATGGGCAAAATTCCGTGGTCCTATGTTGGCGACAAAATCGATCTGGTTGCTGACCCAAGAGGAACTGTGGTGGACATGGGGGTGTGTGGATCCACCTGCTCGTTTAAGATTCCTTTAAACAAAATAGTAAGGGTATATAGGGCCTCCTTAATGAGGGGCCTCGATTAAGAGGACCTTACGGAGAGGTCACTGCGAGTAGTGCAAGCAGAGCTCTCGATTTTCCGTGCAAGGCATGCACTGGGAAGTGATCAGGGTCTTCGGGTATGGCCTGCCTGGAGCTCAGAGGGAAGGCTCACGTACCCCATAGTCGACCCTCCTCAACAGGTGATGTACAGGCTTATGTAGCGGTAGGCTAGTGACATGCTGTGACTATGACACACCATGACTGCGACCTGCAGTATTGCGGAGTTCACAATAAACTAAAATGTGTTGGAGCGTTGTGAATGTGAAAAAGTAGATCATGGCAGGTTTTCCGCTGTGTTTCAGCACGACAGTGATTTTTTCAAGGCTCCAGAGGAACCCAAGTCGCTTATATTATGTAGTTGGTGGGAGCGACGTCAATGTGTGGGGAGCTTCTGCCTCAGCCAGAGGGTGCTTCACGATTAACCTGGTCAATTTTGAAGGCAGGGAGCATGAGCTGACATGAACACTTCAAGCCGAAGCAGATCATTCTTTCCCAGACAACACAGATGAAAACAGAGCAATGACCATGTGAGCTCGTTTTCCTGGGGGTATCATTTACCGCCACATCGCGGCCATGGGCCTTTTCGAGCCAAGCGAAGTGCCAAGCTTAAGAGCTGCATTGATGTGTTGAAATCTATCAGATAGGAGTCGCCCATCTCGCAGGCCAAAAAGAATTCAACAGAAACCCCATGATCCCCCGGAGGTGTTGAAATCATCCGAAATTGAGATGTTTTTTGACGGGGAGCCGACCATTCTCCCGGCTTGACACTTTTGATTCTGCGAGGTGAAGGTACTCAAGACGCCAGGACTGCAGGGACAGAAGACGTGGCGTTCAAAGCACCTTCGTGTTCCACTGTGCTCAGAGCCATCCATTTTGTGGCCTTTGCAACGGTAGGTATTAGGAGGTGCCCAAAAGGGGAAGGCGAAGCAAGGCGGAGCCAGGATGTCCAGTTTTGGGTAGAAAGTCGATTGCGGCAGTCCATTATTGAAGGGAGGAGTCACAACTGCACCACGCAAGCTGCTGCTCTTTGCTGCTTCTCATATATATTCTGTTGAAAGAATCACAGCATTTCGTTGCTTTTGTGTAATAGAATGCAATAGATACTCTTGCTGATGATGCCATGTCAATAGATGGGTCGGGCTAGAAGATCCAGGACCTTGCACGTCCTCCTCAAAGCTTCTCGAGGATTCTTGGCGGTTGATGCCTTCACTTGCTTTTCTGATAGGTTTGTTTCTAGAGCTGAAGCAGCTACTATAGCTGTCAGTTGGAGGCCATCGCTATTAGGCCTTCTTTGGGAAAGCTTGGCTTACGGAGGCTGAGACATCCAAAGAAGATGAGGGGCTGGCATCAGAAATCCCAGGCTGGAGTGAAGTGGACAGGAGTTGGATGGCGCTGCTTTTTGGTGTCATTGTTCCTAGCGATGCCCTAATAGCTTCTTGCTCCTAGTAGTAAGGCCAGGAGCCCCTAGTAGCGTCCTTGCTCTCAGTAGCGATGCCCTTGATACTACTAGCGTTTTCAAGGTCGGGGTCCTACTGAGTTCACTCTTTGCTGAGTTGTCGGTGCATTTATATTCTAGGAGGCTTCGAGGCCAATCGTATTCAATGAGTCCTTTTCAAAGCATTTCCAATGTGTTTTGCTTTTCAGGAATATGTTGTTTCAATCGGTTCAACAGCAAGTAGGATGCTGCGGCATGCATGCTACTGTAGTGTCTTTCCGTCCTTTTCCGTCCACTCTGTCACATCGACACCGGAAGCAACATGCACACTTTCCCTCAGTGCTCCTTTTGTAGCCACTCTAGATGAGATGTATGTACTGCATGTATTAAACAATATATATATATAGAAACTATTGGGGGGATCATGGGATTCAACATTCCAAACCCATTCGTACTGTCTCTGCTTGATGGGTGTTGTCCTTTCAGGTCTGATCTTAAACCATGCTGGATCAATGGACGGTCGTTGACGTGAGTTGAGGAGTTGGCACAACGATTCCCGTGTATTCGCTGGGGGGCCAACGCTTGGCGGATCTCGCCGTGGGGCCTGACGAGACTGTGGCAGCTACCTGGAAGCGGAAAGGGGGGCGTCCCACAGATTCCTGGAAGGCCTACCTAGCTGCCCTAGCTGCTAGCTTTTCTTTGGCCGCTTTTTTGAGAGGTACAGGGCCTTACAGGGTATGCAAAGTGTGAATCTTTCACTTTGGGGACCAACAGAGTCCTTGCTCACACTCCCAACCAGAGTTGGAACGCGCGGAGAGACTTGCTGTGGAAGTGAAGTAGGTCTTCCATGTGCTTGATGACAAGTCAGGCCCTGAAAGAGAAGCTGTGCGAAGCTACTGGCAGAAATCAGTTGATGGATCTGGCTTCTGAGTCTCTTTGCATTGCAGAGTATCAAGAGTTCAGAGCTGTTTGATCTTTGACATTCCTGACTGATTGCATGCCTTTTGGTCAGCTCAGGCTGTTGATACTCCAAGCTGCTTGGCGTATCTTGTGAGACGTTTTGAGTAGAAAGCGTGAGGTGCGAGTGCGGGTGTGGGACTTCTTGGTTGTTCCGTTCAAAGTCCTCATGCCTGCCTGGAAAGTCTGAGTTTCGTACTCCCAGCCCTGCGCCCAAGGATTCCGACATCGTTTGGAAAACTGGCATCTTAGAAGGTGGTCACCTGCAAGCATTGGTGCCTCGAGTCAGCAGACCCTCGGCAAGACAGCCCTTCCAAGCTGGCATTTCACAACATGAAGCAGTTTTGAGATGAACAGATTTGCTTTGATTTGCGAGGTTTATCGAATTTGAAGCAAGTTGACAAAAAGTGCAAATCCCTACATGGAAGTGCGACGAGGTGGTTGCTGAAGAGAGTGTTCAATCCAAAGTCCCACTAAGTTGATCGGATCTGCAAATTGCATATTCTAAAGCTAGGTTGGAGGCCATCGCAAGTAGGTTGGATGCCATCGCTACTAGTAACAAGCAGCTACTAGGCGGAGGCCATCGCTACTCGGTTGGAGGCCATTACTACTAGTAGCAAGGACGCTAAGCCAAGAAGATTCCAAGACTAAACTCGCTGCAGGGGCTGCGCAGTGCCCCGACCCCCATGGGAGGACAAACGGGAGAAAGGCATGGCCAAAGGCACGAGAACGGTGAATGGCAGCGTTCTGCAATGCCAATGCCGAGAAGGGATTATACCACAGGTTGTTTCACGAAAGGTTGGGACATGTTGGGACGTAGGTGCTAAATCACAGCTTTGACGTAGGTCCCAGATACTTACTCACAGCCTTGGGATGCTTTGGGCAAGTTACTGCTAGCTCCCAGATTCTGAGTGAGTCTCAGTTCGACAAGTTACTGCCAAGTTCGACCAGTTTGGCAAAGTCACTGACCTGTTCAAAGTAGCTTCCCAACCAGCTGCTTCCGTCGGCTTGGCATCTCTGAAACCCCAATTCCGATTTGGGCAGAAGCAGAAGCATCTCCATGACAGATATGTGATATGTGTCTTAAAGCATCTTGCAACTCAAAGAACACATTATCCTGGAAGCCCCAGGCCCCACGATGCACAAGGAGCAAACTGAGTGAAACCATGTAACCATGCCCAGGATTTTCCAGCGTGTCTGGACATGGAAGTCACCACTTTGGAGTTTACCTCAATGCCGATGGGAATGCAAGCATTTTCTCGCCGCTGGGACTTGTTGGCATCGTCTGAGGAAACGGCAAAGCCAGTTTGGACGTATGGCAGTTGGGACGTACCGCCAGTCCGTTGGGGCACTTCTAGCTCAAGAGAAATCAGGGAGGCTTCAGGCTTCACGGATCACAGTCAAAATGTCATCAGTAGATATCAGTAGCTAATTCAGGTGGGTTTTATAAATCTGTAAAAATCCACACCCCCATTTTGTAGAGAGAAATCAGTGGGCGTCTCATTGATCACTTTAACTGATTCTGTTTGAGTGCACGTGGAAAAGGATGTTCTACAGATTTGCACTCCGTGACTCCAGGGATTCATGATTTTGTAGAAACGCTTTGCTTTCTACATTGCAGCCAATTTTGGCTGACTGATTTGTAGAGCATTACAAGTATTTTGCTTCATTGTTTTCACAATCCTCTTGAATCCACTTGATCCATTTTGTAGAGAGGATCTCTTGAGCCTGTCATGATACATAATTCTGGAATCTCCGGGCACATTGATAACTGATTCTGTAGCATTGTGGTGTTCATTGCATTCTCTAAAATCGGTTTGTGGAAAAGCATGTTGTAGAGAAAATGTGGGCCAGCCATGCCATTTTGTAGTGGACATGCAGGTACGTCCAATTTAATTGTCTAAAGACAATGTTCTACAAAAAAGCCACTCCCAGTATCACCATGCCAATTTTAATGTGCATGTTCATGGTTTATATAATTAGCTAATATTATAATGGAGCAAGGACGCTACTAGGGGCTCCTGGCCTTACTACTAGGAACAAGAAGCTACTAGGGGCTCCTGGCATCGCTACTAGGAGCATGTCGCTTTGGTGGATGTGATGTGGATTCTGTTTGATTGGCGCCTGAGGTGGCAGACCCGTGTGGTGAACCGCCGTGAGGATGAAGAGCATTTGCAGACCACGCTTTGGGGCTCGTGGACGCTGTCAGGTCGCGGATGGGAGGACGAAGAAGGAAGTCATGTAAAGTGTCCCTAGTCGCGTCCTTTGCTCCTAGTAGCGATGCCAGGAGCCCCTAATCACGAAAGGTAGCTTGAGCTACCTGAGTTCTCCTTGCTTTAGCAAAAATGTATTACAATCAGGAGTTGGGATTGTGCATTGAAGTTGGTCCTGTAAGAGTTGATTCTGTTCGTCGGGGGGGGGGGGGCCCCCCCCCCCTGGATCAAATCCCCCCTGCGCCGGTTCACGCCGTCGTGGACTTCTACCAGGGTTACTTGTGATTGCCTGCTACCTTTCGTTCACCCCCTCCTCTCTCAAGTAGCTTCTTGTTCCTAGTTCATGTAAAGCGTGGCATTTGTTTTTGCCTCACAGATTTCACAGGGAAGATTCCAGCGTCCCAGAGCGGTTAAGAGTGACGGATTGATGGAGCAGTTTGGGGAAGCTTCCGAACTGGAACCATACCAAGGGTTCACTCATGCGTTACTGGGACCTACAATGTATTGAAAAGGTGCTTGCATGTGTAAAGAGCATATCAGAAGATGATGAGATATTGATGATTTGTGAACCTTGCCGACCAACGCTAGCGAGGTCCCGACAACGCCGTTGAGGTGCAAGTGACCCAAATGGAGAGAAAGGTGTCATGGCTGACCGGAAGGATGGATGGGGGCATGAAGTTTTACCATACCCATGAGCCCATTGCCCACCAAGTTGATGGGCTTTCTCAACGAACTCAGGTGTTCAACGAGTCCGTTCCCCATGGCTGGACGCAGCAAACTGGAAAGACAGATGCCGAGGTGACGATGAGGCACCCTGACTTTGAGGTCTCTTGAGTGATGCAAACTTACCTGGTGTCGAAGCTATGTAACTATGCTGAGTTTGCTCAAGAAAGAAGCAGAACATCTATACAAGATCAGCAGTTTGAGCATTGGTAGTTTGTCCTTGGGTGTGCGGGTCTGTTGCGGGGGGCTGTTGTTGAAACGGACCAGCCTTTCCGCTGCGTGTGGAGGTTCTCTTGGCAGAGGAGGCTCTTGAAGAGCCTCGGATCCAAGAGAAAGTCGCGAAGTGATCAAGGTTATTAAAGAATAGACATGAGCCCTCCAAATAGGTATGGTATGGTATGTTTATTCATGTATATTCCATTATATTCTTGTATATTCATGTTAGTTCTGAAAAGATCGGTTGGCAGCAGCTTTTAAAAGATAGATGTTCGTTCGTTTAGCCCACCTAAGATGTGATTTAGTCACCCGCAGGTCAAACATGGTCAAACATCACTGTATACTGTGTACAGAAATGTTTGTTCGTGAATGAATTTGCACTTGCTTATCTTGATTTGGCCCTCCGGGTGTTCCGAGAGAGAGCTCCAATGTGCTACAATCTGGTGCCCAGGTACATGAGTGTAGGATTTTATGACTTGGCGACCGAGGATGACAGCTTACTAGCCCAAGGTGCAGGAGAAGGTTTTCCCTCCAAAGTTCTGACTCCAGCACCGTTTTCTCCAGGTTTCTTGGAACAGCGGGGCCAACGTCCGGACTCGGCAGCTCGGCGAACATCCGGTTTATCGTTGAAACGCTCCGCGATCCCAATGTTTTGGGCGTAGAATGTGAGGCTACCCAAGACCGATGCCGCTAGAATCTCAGGGGCAACGAGCTACCAGAGGTATCACTAGAGCTACCTACAGCTTTGTGTTCAGCCATTGAACCAACCGACCCGCCAACCACTCAAACATGCGGAATTGGTGGGTACATCTTCCATTTTTGCTGTGGTGGGCAAGATCCTGCACGCGGTGCCGCGCCGTGAACGGATTGAACGGCCTTTTGGGCCTTTTGGAATTGGCTCCAGGCATCCTTGCGAGTGTTTTGCTCCAATTCCCAGACGAGCTGCTTGCTGCGGGGACTGATGACAGGCATGCCACTTGGCTGCAGCTTGCGAGTGCATGCTGGGGTACAATGCAATCAGTAGGGTGTTTGGTTAGGTTTATCCCCTTATCATAATTTTTTTCAGGTGCCTCGATGTTGCGACTAGCAGTGAACAAAAAGCTCCATGCAAGATTGCAGGAAGCTATAATAACAATAACTATAATAATAATGATAACAATGACAAGAACAATATTAAAAAAGTAATAATATATGTATAATATATGTACATGATTGTTCCCTCCCTTTGAAGGATCCCATCGGCTGAGTATTTACTGCCGACGCTTCCCAGGTGTTTGATGCATGGTATGCGGCTGGGACTTCAACGGAGCCTTGATTATTTGAAACATGTTGCTTGTCTTGCGTGAGTCGGCAAAGCCCATTACCCACGATTAGTAGTGTCGAAATCCCAATGTCTCCCAGCAAGGAAAGTTTGACCTTGCTTGATACGTTTTCCTTTCACCCAGAGAGTGGAATCTAAAGGATGGTATTCACAGAATGGAGCATGAAAGGCATTGGGTACTTGCAGGCGAAAGACATGGTCATTCGCTGTACAGCTCAATCCCGTGCACTGACTTCAATTGCCGACAGCTGCGTTCGCCACTTGGAACAGCCTGCCAAAAAGAAAAGTCCAGTGACTGGTGGAGTGTCGAGAGGTGTTCGGATGATGACATGCCTTTAGAAACCTTCACAGCCTTCACAGCCTTCACAGAGAACATCCAACTCTTTCTCGGTGGGATAGCTGGGTTTGAGTGAGGCCTAGATTCGTGCCGGGGAGCAAACCACAAAAACGACTCGCCTTTGGACCACTTCTTCCGATGACCTGCAAACCTCGGTGGGACCGGGTGGACAACCCGGGAGTGAATCTTAAAGAGATCTGAGACCAAAAGCAAGAGGTTTACCTCAGGGCCTCAGGATATGTTGATATGGTCTAAGATGTTGATGTCGAGTTTAGATCATTAACGTTGTTGTGCGCCATGAAAACCTCATGAAAAACCTGCCCAGAGGATTCTGCTGCCACTCAAAGAGTTTGCCACTCACCGGGTGAATCCATAAGAGCCAAGCTGGTCTACCAGGGGCGGTGCGACATTCTGATCTCAGCACTTAAAGCTCTAATGACTTGAATGAATAGTAATTAGTCCCGCACTAATTCTTCAACAGTTGCTTATGTCAATGTACATTGACAATGTCGTTGTTCATACAATTTGTTTGTGATCAAACAAAATGCGAGAATGAGGTTGACCTGTGTGACCACGGGCTTGGGTGCAGTGCCTTTCCTCGTTGTCCGGGAGCCGTGAGAATCGCCAGTAGGACAGTGCCAGTAGGCAGTTTGCAGGCTGAATGGCACACTGCATACGACATATATGAGAAAAAGATGGTAGAAAGAAGTGACCCATGACAACGTACAGCTGGACCTTCAAAGCTGATTTGTTCATCTTCATGGCTCCAAACACCGTAGGTTTTCCACTATTGCTTACCACCTGAGAATTGGGGGACGACAATGATTGGAACATACTCAATGTCGGCATTCATGTAGTAATCATCCTCGTTTTCTCTCACCAAAGCAACTGCAAACTAACTATTGAACATTATTGAACCCTTATTTATTGCATTACTCCGCAGAGGTGAATATCCAAGAAGTCTGAGGGATGTCCTACGGCTTTAAGAACTCCCACCAGCTTGAGGTGAAGCCTGGCCCCTTGGGTATCGGCCTGGCCGTGGCCAACGTGGGAGCACCCAGCGGAAATGCCACCGACACTACGAAGAGGTCGTAGAGGGTGTGTGTGTGTGTGTTGAGTCCTGTTCCTAAGGACCTCTGACACCACCAGTAACTAGATC